CTAAAGGGAGTAACAATTAGCCATTGGAGGGTGGCAGTCGGTGAGGAAGACAGAGCATGCTGGCCTTTGCAGTCATTGCTCTGTCACCTCATGTGCAACAGGCTTAAACCAATATGTGATCTTCCCTCTGGCATCCCCTTTCCCTCTGCCACTGCTGAGCTGTGTTGTGTGTATTTGACCTCTCCCTTCCCCACACCCACAACCATCTTTATGCACTGTACACCCATTGGCTAGAGCAGCAGCTCCAGGCACCTCTCTTGTTCCTCCCTTCCTTCCGGTGACCACTCCCTATCCCTAATGTGAGTCCCTCACTGCTTCTCCCTTGAAATACTTGAACCTGAGTCCCTCTCCTCACCTTCATTTGTCCTTTCAACAATGGCTGGAGTGCATTCCTGGTTCATGTTCTCCTAGGGATGAAAAGGGGTGACATCGTTCCTCTTCATCACCCTCTAGAACAAAAGATAGGTTAATAGGAGAAAAGCATAACACATTTATTTAATCAAACTTTTATGTGATATGGGAGACTTCAAAAATGAAGTCCCCAAGACTCAGGGAGAACTGTTTTTTATGCTTAGGTTTGAGGAAGAGTGGACAGCTGTGTACTTTTTGTACTGGACAAAAAGGGTCTAATCCAATAGTGATAGGCTGAATGGGAAAACCCAGCAAGGCCTGTCTGTTGAGATTCTTCTTGGCCTCTCGGTTGTAGCATTTCTTCCTTCTAGGTATTATGCAGACCCCCTCTGGAATGAGGGCCTTATGATCTAATATCAGACAAGGGTAGGTCAGAGAATTTCTCTATGGCCAGTTTCTAGATAGAAAGGCAGGAGGAGATCAGAGTAATATTTCCAGGGTTCATTGCTTTCTTTGGAGGAGAGGGGTTTCAGTTTTTCTGACCCATTCAGGGGAAGTGGAATTATGTTTCTGTGACTTGCTTTGAGGGAGAATGAGAGGTGAGAGATAGGAAGCAGAAGGTCAAAGAGTCTGTGGTTCTGAGGCTGCTTCTGAGGTCTTTCCAATGTCCTTTTGTTCCAAGTACGCTGCACACCAAAATGCCATACTTTGGGGTATCATTTTCTGAGTCACAGAATCCCAGATACATCACTCTCCTCAGAGGCTCTGGCTCCCACGGTGCACTGACTGAGGCCAAACAAATCTTCATGACATACCGAGCCTGAAAGAACAGTCCCCCCCACCAGATCCCGGTCCTCCTTCCTTCCACCATAGGCAATAACTCCCACCCCACCTCTCCCCAGCCCTCCTTGCCTTTTTCTGCCTTGTGCCTTTGCTTCTGCTGGTTCCTTCTCCACTATATGCTGTTCCCATCACCCACCCCCATTATCCAGGGCCTAAACATGTCCCCATTATGCAGCTTCACTAGACAGGGTGACATCACTTCTCTTATAGGACTTGCTGGACACAGCCGGGGGCCCTAATAACGCATTGGCAGAAGGATGGGTGAGTGGTTCACATGACCTTTGACCACTGACTTTACTTACCTGTGGAGGTGGACTTGGGCTTTTGCTTGAGAATGTGGGTGTACACATGTGTGTGAATACATTTAAAATGATCATGCTTTGGATGAACAAGTCAGGGTTTACCAGTGTACTTGCTAAGCACCTGCAGTGGACACACCTGGGGAGCTTGAAACAGTCCAGAGTCCAGGGCCCTGTCCCTGACCTCAGAACCAGATGAGCAGAGCAGGGGAGGGGGCAGGAATCTGTGTTTTTAATAAGTCCTTCTGTTTAATCTTCACATTTGGAAATGACTTGAGTAAGTGATCTCAATTTAAAAACTCTTAGAAAGCAAAGAGTTTTCATGAAGGAAATCATCACCTCATCATATATGTATGAATATGGATAAATATATGGTACTGGGGAGGAGAATCTGTGTATAGGGAGACAACTGATTGTTGTTTCAGGCACTGTATGTACCACAGGGTCTTATTCAATCCTTACTGCTCACTATGAAGCAGGTTCTATAATCCTCACTTTACAGATGAGAAAGTGGAGGCTCAGAGAGGGGAAGTAACTGCTGCGTAGTCACAGAGCTGGAGAGTGACGAGGTCTGTGTTTGAATCAAGGGCTGATGCCAAAGCCCAAGCTTGAGTCACCCTGCAATGCTGCCCATTTGTGAGCCTGGATTTTTTTTTTTTTTTTAACTTTCAAGGACAGTGTTTCTTTAACTTTGAAGAACAGACCCCACTGGTTAACAGCTAAGCCCAATGTCTCTCATGATGCTCCCTAAAGGTGGGGCTCTGAGATTCCAAGAGTGCTTCCCACTGGCCTTCCCCGTCCTCAGTATAAGCCCCAGATGAGTCTCAAGAGTTAATCTCTTCTATTCTATCCTCACTAGGCTTGTTGCTGGAGTGAAGCATTCCTGCCATGGTTTGGTTCTGAAACAGACTGAGGGAACAGAAATATGAGAGCTGCAACTTGACTTAGCCTATCCACAGTGAGTGCTGGAACGAAAAGTAGGCCCTGGCCCAAAACAGATGCCCAGGCTTTTCAATGGGACCTAAAATTTTACTACTCTGAGTTCAGATGCATCTTCTTTGAAAAGAATTATCAGTAAAATGAATATAGCCGCTACCAGTCTTTCATACTGTATGTAAGCGAATTCATTCAGTTACTTTTCATTTGTGGAAAAAAGTACACTGAGAATATCACATTTGGAAAATGAGAGATTTGAATTATATTCTTTCTACCCATAATTGAAAAAGTGGTATGCACGTGTGGGGAATGAGTTCACTGCCTCCAAACACCTTGTGGATGTGAAACTCTGCTGGGTGAAGGGGGTTCCATGGTTTCAGGCTGGGTGTCTTTGCTACGGGACTTTTCAGAGCTTTAAAAATGCTAATTCTCATTGTGAATTTCTAGGAAGGATATATAGTTCTCCAAATTTCTAAAGTTTATTTGATCATAAACCTTTTCACAGAATCTTAGGGACACTTCGCAAAACCCAGGATCAAATATCATTAATAAATACTAAGCCCTTACCTGTGCAGAATATTAACCCCTTACCTGTGCAGGAAACCCTATTGAATGACTCAGTCCCCACTGAGTTTCAGACACAACCTCATTCTGTTTCTTGAGGGACAGAAGAGAGGTCATTTGAGCCTGTGGTGAGCAAAGGTAAGCCTGAGGGGAGTGATAGTAGTGGGAAGGGGCTCTTGGGAAAGCTCTGGGAAGGTGGGGACAAAGGGACCACGTCATTGGTCCCTCTACTTGGTCCCTGGCTGCCCCAGGAGAGGGGTCCTGCACCTCCTCAGGTGGCTCCCCTTCCTCCCCAGTGCCTCTCACTGACTTCACCAAAAAGGCCTCGCATGTGAGAGGACTCCGCCTCCTCTGTTTTCCCAGCCAGCATGAGGCTCCAGCCAGCACTTTCCTGGCTCTCTTTCTCCAGAAACATGGCGTGGTTGTTTGGGAGCACAGCTTGCCCGGAGGCCCATGGCATGGTGGCTTGATCAAAGGGCTTGAGCCAAGGCTGGCCCTGGGCCACATGGCTGCTTTGCAGCCTTTCTATCCATCCCCCTAATCACATTTAGGATATTCAGGAACAATGAAAAGATCTGGTCATTCAAATCATACCAATGTGTGCTAACACTATGCACTACCCCTGTGGGGATAAACCTGCTTTACAAAGGGAATGCTTGCCTAATGGTGGGACAGAAGGATGAGGGATAGCCTTTCACCTGCAGGACCCCATGAACTTAGGACCCTGGGAATGATCCATCACAAATCTGTCGGCATTAACCACTCTGTCCTTCCAGGCGTGCTTTTCCATCTGTGTACCCAGCAGCAAAATACAATTCTGCTCAGAGTAATGAACCTAATGTTCTGAAGGCACCAGAAGGTTGTGGAAGTATCGACCTATCTCTACTTAGCATTTGCTTATCAGGACCCCTGAGACTGTGGAGAGAGTAACTCAGCAGAAGGACCAGAGCTAACAGGGACTGAACCCTTACCACATACCAGGGCCCGTTCCAAGTACTTTGCATGTATTAAATTGCTTAATTTTTCTTCCTTTTTTTTTTTTTTTTTTGAGACAGAGTCTCACTCCATCACCAGGCTCCAGACTGGTGTGCAATGGCGCGATCTCGGCTCACTGCAACCTCTGCGTCCCGGGTTCAAGCATTTCTCCTGCCTCAGCCTCCAGAGTAGCTGGGATTACAGGCACGCACCACCACGCCTGGCTAATTTTTTTGTATTGTTAGTAGAGACAGGGTTTCACCATGTTGGCCAGGATGGTCTCGATCTCTTGACCTTGTGATCTGCCCACTTCGGCCTCCAAAGTGCTGGGATTACAGGTGTGAGCCACTGTGCCTGGCCAAATTGCTTAATTTTCACAGTGATCCAGCGGAGATGATAGTTTTGTCTCTTCTCCATATTATGGCAGAGGAAAATGAAGACAGAGAGACCAAATGACAGGCCCATAGTCACCCAGCTAATAAGTGAAATGGCAGGAGTTGAACTCAGGCCTCCTGGCCCCAGAGCTTGTGGCACCTAGCATGTGGCCGTGGTTGAAAAACCACACTGAATTTGTGTAGACATGTGGTCAGTGGCCCCCTCTACGGCACAGGGCTGATGGAGAGGGCTGGCTTGGGCCAAGAGCAGCTGGCACTGCAGATCTGTTGGAATAGCTCTGCCCAGCCTGCTCAGGGCAAGGTGCAAACTGGGAGATGTATGTATCCTGAAATAGAACTTTGGAGAAAGAACGTGCTATCCAAAGTAATGAGTCTCAAACGAGGGATGTTCAAGAATCAGTAGCAGATGCTGTGTTGGCCATAAAATGTTTCCAGGTAAGATGCCCTCCTCCCCACCAAACCAACAAGCAAGCTAAGAAAAAAGAAACAAAATAAAAGGAATTGAAACAAATTAATAAACGGCAACAACAAAGCCATGTACAAACCCACACAGACAGCCACCTCTTCTGCCTGTGGGTAAAACTGACAGCTCTAGAAATGAAGAGAGATCGATGTAAATGGTTTCAAAGCATGGGAGTAATTTTTGTTTTTCCATTTAATACTAGGTTTCAAAGGAGGAGAATATATCTATCACTGTTACACACGCATTCTGTTTAAAACCCATCCAGATGCCTTCATGGGGCTCTGTCAAAGAGTGGGAAGGTCCCCACAGCTGCTTCTCAAAGCCAGGAGAGGGCAGTGGGGAGCTCATGCTTGGCAGGCCTCCCGCGTCGCCATCACTTCTTTTTGAACACTTGACGGCACACCTGGTCGCCACAGGTCAGCTCCTGTAACGTCAGAAAGTGGGTGAGGGGCTAACAAGCCAGGTCTTTCTTTTGCCCAGCCCTCAGTCCCTTTGGTGTCTGGGGGTGGGAGGTTGGAATAAAGAGGACACTTAAGCATTTTGGGCAAAGGGCATCTCACAGACCCAATCAGCAGGCATGCCCTGCAGGTAGCAGTGATTTGATTTTGAAACCTGAATTGAGCTTGAACAACTATAAAAATGAAAAATGCAAAGAAATTACCCTCTTGGGCAGGATTTCTCCTACTCCCATGATTAAAGTAATATAGCCTAATTTATAAAAGGCAGCGAAGCCATGAGGAAGGAAAGGACCTAGAGTGGAGAAGTGTTTGGAAGGTACGGGCCTGCAAAGATGCTGGCCGGTGAGCTGCTCCTCCAGCCTGCGGGCTTTCTGCCCTCTGGTGATTAGAACATTCACTGGCAGTGGCACAGGTACCCACAGGGTGTGAGCTGCAAAAGGGCTTTCCCAGGCTCGCCTGTGCAGCCGACAAGGTGCTGCTTTTCATCCAGATAGAGGGAACCCCAGGCCTTCTTTGACTCTCACTGATCCTTGAAGGAGGAGGGAAAAACATGAGTGTGGGAAGGACCACCACCATCATTACAGTTGACTATGAATCCATTGTCTAAGCCACAGGGACCGCTGGGGATTGTATTACAATTAGAAAAATCCATCATCCAAACCAGAGCAGGTAGGGAGAGCCGTCAATGGAAAACATGATGAATGCCTCCCATATATCATCAGCTGACACTGCCTTCAAAATAAAGATCTCAGGTGAAGCAAGGCTGGCTGTGAAGGGTACCATGGCAACCTGAATACTGACATTGGAGCCAGGTACCTGCCTGACTCCAAAGGTGAGTGAATTAATGAATGAAGAGCCATTCATTGAATGAGCCATTCATTTACAAATGAGCAAAAAAAGATGGAGTGAAAAGTTTTTCACCATTTGAATGCTGAATCCATGAAGTGCCTTGAAGATTGAAGAATGAAAAACTAAGCTGTCTTGACAGATATAAGTTATTTAAGGATATCAGCTATTGTTCCTACTGCTCTGTTCTAGTGCTAAGTTAACCTAAAATATTTTGAGGTCAGGAGGACATATGTCATGGAGAGAGGTCAATGGCTGTAGCAGTTTCCAGGCAGAGCGGGTCCCCTCTCATCCCTACCCCACTCCCTCTCTCTTCCAGGCTCCCCTCATTTTGAGAAAGCCCTGTCCCACCCTCCTCTAGGGCATCTAAATTCTTGGGCTCACATTTCTCCCCAGTTGGTCTTTAACAGGTTCCCTGTATTTCTCCTTGGATCTCGGCTTCCGAACTCAGCATTTTGCACTTTCTTTTGAATTGCAGCTGTTCACAGAAACAGCCATATAGATTTCTTTCTGGAGTCCCCTGAGCCAGATGGGAATGACTTTCTGACTATATCACCACATGCATTTGGCTGGAGCTCAGGGGAGGAGTGCAGGGTCATTTTTCTTGTCAAAGGGCCTGGCTAGGTGACCACAGTTGAGTGTGTAAGAGCAATGGAAGGGAGCTGAGCAGACCCCAGTACTTACCAGGTACAGCTTGCCCCCCTCGACCCACTGCTTCCAGCCGCGGTTCTCCTTCTCCCCCTTTTGTACACACACAAGGGCATCACCTTCCCAGGTGACCAGTGTCTGTAAAGACAGATTCCCAGGCAAGTCAAACATGTGATCTTGAGGGACCGAACAAATCTAAATCCATAGTTGCATTTCCTGCAGCCACTTCAGGGTCCTGCTTGCTCAAAGGGCAGAGCCCTCAACCTCAGGGAACCAAGATCTTTCCAATGTCATTTTCCACATACACCCTCCATTCCAGCCAAACCAGCTTATCTTGGCTTGCTCCATTTTCTTTTAAGGAATTCTACTCTTCCATTTTTCCTTATGGTAAAGATAGCATTTCAAATCAGTGGGGAGAAGATGATAAATTTCACTATATAATGAAGTAAAATTTCTGGAAGGGAAAAATACCTCAAAGTCAACAGAAAAATAATAAAATGGGGAAAAATGATATCAGCAAAGATTTAATTTTCTTATATGTAAAGGGCTCCTGTAAATCAATAAGAAATATGTCATTATCATAATAGTTCATATGAACAAAGAACAAGAACCAACAGCTTACAAGGGGGAAAGAACCCTAGCAGATGGCTTCTAGACATAAGAAAAGATATTTAGCCTCACATGTTATAAGAGAAATGCAAACAAAGGCTGTTTTTCAGATATGGTCAAAGATCAAAGAGTTTGATAATACACTGAGTTGGTGGGAGAGTAGAGAAGCAGGCGCTCTCTCTTATCCATGGCACGTGGGGATATAAATCTCTTTGGAGGGCAATTTTATATTATCTTTCAAAATATAAAATTGCATTATACTTTTTGATCTAGAAATTCTACTTCTGGGAATTTCTCCTTCAGAAATCACACTGTGAGAACTGTCCATTGTAGGACGGTAATAAAGGCAGGGGAGCTCCCTAAATAATCAGGGGTTGCCTAGATGGCTCCAGTGCCAGCCTTCTTATCCAGAATCAAATGGATGGACCTTCTCCTGGTCCGTGGGTTCCTCCTAGCAGCAATGCCAACTGGTTCACAGCACAGGGGAAGCAGCAGAACATGTGCTGAACAGCCCGGCTACACTGGCCGGCAGGTTGGAAAAGCCGTAGCCCTGCTGGATCCCAAGAGTTCTCAAACCCCTGTGCACATATTTACAAACGATTTACTCTTCAAATTTCTCCTCCTCCTGTTCCCCACTTTTATGCCTCTTACTACTTGTTATAATCTGTACTACCCCTAGGTGGTCCTACAGGGCCAACCACTTCTGTGCCCAAATTAGCCATGTATTTCCTGAGATGATTACATCACTCCCCTCTGAATGGTTCTGTGTCTGTGCTGTTCTTCGGGAATGCTAGCTGATTTTCTCCCAAGTCTGTGCAAACTATATTATGCCTCTCTGAACAATATTATGCTAAGGACCAGATGTTTATTTTCCTTGATATCTAGTAAACCCAGTTGGTGATAAACTGACCTGTGTTTTTTTTTTCCCCAGTGTCCTCATACATTTGGGCCTGTTTTTTTTTTTTTTGTACAAATCTGTTTTCTACAGATTGTTAAATCTACTTATTTCTAAAATAATATTTGACCTTGACCATATTACATACTTTATGTGCAATTTTATTCCTCCTCATTTTACTCCCCAGTGCATCACAGCATTGTTTGTTACAGCAAAGGACTAGAAGCTTCGTAAATTCTGTCAGTGGGTGGCTAGTTAAATATGGCGTGGTTCATCCCTGCAATGCAGTCATTGAAAGAATATAGCCACAGTGTACAGTTTAAGTCGAAAAAGCAAGGAGCAGAGCCAAGTGCAGAAAGTAGGGAGGGGGGAGTGTGTCTGCATACATATGTTTGTACATGCTTCCTGCAAGGAAGTGAAAGAAACCCTAAATAGTGATTGTCCCTGAGGGGAGAACTGAGTGGCTGGGGGCTAGGATAGAAAGAAAATTTTTACTTTTTGATTTTTAAAAAACCATCTGCATGTATTCATATTCCCAAAGCTAATTTGAAAATAAAATTCTACATGTTTTCTAAAGAACAAAAAGGTCTCCTCCTCCTTCAGGGCCATCCTAAACCTCACATCTTTAAAGGTCTTGGAGAAGCTCAATTCACAGGTTGCCCTCCTTGCTCTTCTGGGAGGAAGATGTTGTCTAGAATAATCATCTGTGATGAGCCTTGGACTCTGAGTTTTCCACTAAACAGATGACAAGGGACTCATGTCTTCAATTTAGGCAAGGACTGCGTCTTCTGCCCTTCTTACTCCCAGTTTGCCTCACACATGATAAACACCTAATACATCTTGGTTGAATTGATGCCTGTCTCCCCCAATAGAAGTAAACTCCATGAAGAAGAGGCTGTCATTTCTGCAACACCAGACTCAGCACAGTGACCGGTATTGTTGAATGAATCTCTGTTTGTTGAAACATAGTCTTGAAGTAAATCCATTTGCCTCTTTGCCTTAGTTTCTATGGTCCAACCAGAGTGCACACACATCCATCAGTATGGACACTATATGGTCATTGCTCATTTACTTGTCTGCCTTCCCCAGGAGGCTTACAATGCCTCAAGGCAGGAGAGGGCATCTGATTCATCGTATTATCACTAGCTACTTACTTAGCCCTGGCATGTAGTAGAGGCTTAGGAAGGAAGGGAGGAGGAAGGGAGGAGGAAGGAGAAAAATGTTAGTGCATGGGGCCTGTCCTAATATTTTGCTTTAATAACTCATATTGGACAGCAAGATTAAAAGTTGTTCTGACCCCAAAGTAAATTGGTTGCCAATAAATTATGGTAATGCTTACAAGATTATAGCCTTACTCTTATATAAAAGTAATAAGAAGCAGAAAGAAGAGAATGGTTAAATGAACTAGAATTTCTCAATTTTAATTTGCTTTTAGTTGGTGCCCTTCATCCCTGCATCAGAAGAGATTTTAAAAAGAGGCTAAATTGCCTTAAAAGATCCTCAGGTTGAGGAAATGGATACAAGCAAGGAAAGCCCTTGGTTCTCAACTAGGGGATGAAGAAGGAGTACATTCTAAGGGCAATAGCTATACACAGGATTAAAGAAGAAACCTGGGCCCCCGCTGTGCTTTCCACTATCACAGTTTCCAAAGCTAACATTGCTTAAAGCAGCCCTTTATGATAAATGAGATACACGTACTGTATCAATGTTAAACTTAGACAACCCTGATAACTATACTGCAGTTTTACAAGAGAATATCTTAATTCTTAGGAAATACATACTGAACTATTTAGGGCTAAGGCATCTGATTGTTCAGAAAAGAATTGTATATTAGAAAGTATGTGCAAATGATAAGCAAAGGGGGGAAATATGGTAACTCTTGATAAAGAGTATACAGGCGTTCTTTGTTATATTCTCATACCTTTTCTGTAAGTTTGAATTACTCTCCAAAATGTGTGTGTGTTTTTTTTTAAGGAAAATAATGCTGAAGGACAGTATTTTTTTTTTTTTTTAAGGAAAATAACACTGAAGGACAGTATTCACGTGCTCAGCCCTCCTCAGTGCACTTGCCCTCACTTAAGAGTTCTTGGGTTTGCCTGCAGGACCCTGGTCTGGCAGCCCCTGGTGCCATCCCCTGGAGGAAGGTGGCTTCCCTGCTTGCCACCCCTCTTCTGGGGGCTCCCATCTTCTTCTGCCATCAGAATGTCATTATTGGCTCTAACTGCCATTGTCTATCCCTGATTTTCCCTGCTCTTACTGTCTGCCCCAATTTCAATTACTGATTATTTATTATTAAGATATAATTCACAAAATATAGAATTCACCCTTTCAAAATATATAATTCGTTAGCTTTTAGTATACAGGTTGTGTAACCATCCCCATATCTGAATCAGGCGATTTTCTTCACTCCCCAAAGGGAACCCCTAAGTATTAGCCATCACTATTCATTTCCTCTATCCTCTGTCTCTGGGCAGCCGCTTTCTATCTCCGAGAATTTGCCTATTCTAGACATCTCATATACATCACACAATATGTAGCCTTTTGTGTGGGGCTTCTCTCACTCAGCACATTTTCCAGATTCATCCATGTTGTAGCATGAGTCTGTCCTTCATTCTTTATTATGGCTGCATATAATCCATGTTCCATTACATGGATATCAATTACTTATTTTAATTTAATTTTACTTTGGGGTAGCTTGTGTGGTTTTGAAAGGGGCTTTAACTTCTCTTAGAAATCAGCTAGGATAGGAAGTTGGGAATACATAGGATCCACAGGAAGGAAGAAGGGGGTCCCTGGCTCCTCAGAGGAGAATTGACTCTGTGATCAATGTGGTTTCATTGCTTCTGCTCTGGGCTGGCACAGAACTGGGCACTACAGGGCACAATATGTGCCTCTCCTCCACACTGCTGAATGGGGAGATTTCCAGAGGGCTCGTAGGGTGACCAAGTAGTTGAGCATGGAGCCCTGGGAAACAACAGCATGAGGAGTACCACACGCACGCTCATAAGCATCCTCACACTCCCACACGTGCATAGGTGTTCACTCAGGCATGCCACCAAGTGTGGGTGACAAGTTAATCAGAGAGGCCAGGTGTGGTGGCTCATGCCTGTAATCCCAGCACTTTGGGAGGCCAAGGCAGGTGGATCACTTGAGGTCAGGAGTTCGAGACTAGCCTAACCAAGCAGGTGAAACCCTATCTCTGCTAAAAATATATATATACATACAAAATTAGCCGCGTGTGGTGTCTTGCACATGTAATCCCAGCTACTCGGGAGGCTGAGGCAGGAGAACTGTTTGAACCCTGCCTGGAGGCAGAGGTTGCAGTGAGCCAAGATTGAGCCACTGTACTCCAGCCTGGGCAACAAGAGCAAAACTCTATCTCAAAAATCAATCAATGAATCACTCAGTCAAACAATCAGAGAAAGAGATTCACCCATTCTCTAGCATCCCCTTCCAGCTGAAGGGTTTCAGTGAAGTTACAGAAGTAGGTAGTTATTGTGTATCTGCTCTGCATGGTGATTCTCATGGGAATGACTCATTGTTGAGGGCTGGGCAAACTGTCCTGGGTACTTCTCACCCACTACCAAGGTTGTGTGTGTGTGTGTGTGTGTGTGTGTGTGAGCGTGCGCGTGTGTGTGTGCATTCACTCTGGCTTTCTGATGAAGCAAAGAGGAGGCAAGCTGTGGGAGAGAGGATTCTCTCTCTCTGCAGGGCTAATTGCTGATTCTGAAGAGGGGAGAAAATGGAACATGAAGAGGCAGAAGAAGGGTAGGAGTAGTGTTAACACGTGGAATCCATTAAGGGCTGGAAGGGTGATTTATTTTAGGAAGAGCAAGTTCTCTAACATCAAAGGTGACAAAAGATCAAGTCAGAGAGGACAGGCCTGCTTTTCAAGAGCCCACACCCAAAATGGAAAGGCAAAGGAAAATAAATCATTTTGCGCTGATTGGGTTGGAACAGCAGAGTGATGCAAAAACTTCTCAGACCAATTTTCCTAGCAACTCTGGCGTCCAGTGAATTGGCTTTTCAGTTATATGGTTCACAAGTTCTGGAAAGGCTTGTGGATCCATTATCCCCTCAGGGAGGGGTTCCATAAGTGGACATTCCAGGGCCCAGAATCTTAAGTTCTCATGCCGAGAGTGCTCTGATGGAAAACTTTCTGTCATGCTTTATATTTCCCTACTTTTCCTTAGCAAAGAACACTAAATATAATTCAGCCTTGACTTGATGGCTGTGATTATCAATTCTGCAGGACAACTTGTCTGAGAATTAAAGTGTGTCCAGCTGTCTTGGCTTTTAAGTCATCATCAAATAATAACAACAGCTTTTCCTCTCCACCCTAGGAGAGGAGTCAGAGCTTGTGCCCATTGCTTTGGGGAGAGTTGAGACCTCTGACTTCGAAGGAGCTCCTGGAAGCACAATGTGAGAGTCTTGGGGTGGTGGCCTGACCCTGGGAAGATCAGGACTCATGGTGAGAGGGAAAGAGGGGGGCAGAGGGTGTTGCTTGCTTTGTTGTGGCACCTAAGGGGCGGGCCCTTTGCCAGGGTGGGAAGCTGACAACACGAATCCCTTGGGTTGGAGTACTGAGCTCTATCCTCCCTCAGTTTGGGAGATAGGATAGAGGCCCCAGTGGCTGAGTTGGCACAGAGGGAAAGGATGCTTTGAATATTCAAACTGCCCACCTTGTACAAAATGCATGGGCATGGACAGTTAACAGTCAATTGCAACCATGGTAAATGACAAGCCAGGAACCTTTCCAAATCTTTTGGACTGTGTATCCCTGGGGTTTGTTATGATGGGAAGGTTGGGTGGAATCCTTAAATACGACTGAGATTAGATTTATCCTATTCCTGTTTGGTGGGGATTGATCAGGTGTAATTTGATTTGGAAAATCAAAAACAGGCACACTGAGCATGAATATGAGCAGGAGCGCTGGTTAACTGGGAAGGGATACCACACCCTAATGCTGGGGAGAGCTGTTGCTCCCCCTGCCCTCCCCAGCAACTCTCCACTTCTCCCTGGTGCCTCTGCGTCATTTGCAAACAGCTCCTGTGGGCAAGGGCCTGCCTCTTCTGCAAATTCAAGTTTTTGGGGTTTGAGATAACTCCCCACTCCCCTCTCAGAGTTGTTTTCTGCCTGCTTTCAGGGTCTTACCTATATTGAATAGTTCAAAGAGTGAAAGTCTGGCTTTCTGGTACATGGAGGGTTGCCTAGATTATCCCGTTGGTTAAGGCAATGCTAGGGCAGAAGCCACAAACTTGCCAGAGACTTCCCCAAGTTATTAGGGCTGGATAAATCTTGACTCCACTTAGCTTACCAATGTTTTTTTAATTTGCATTATTCTTTTCTTTAAAAATGAAATCGGTTGTGCTCATCTATAATTGAGATGTTTTATTTATTTTATATTTGTCCTTTCTCAGCAGAATCATAAAAAATTACGATATTTTATATAAAAGCATCTGATTTAACTATGTCTCCTAAAAAAATCTGCCACCTTTAGCCTTCACTCCATGGTAGCGCTTGGCTGGCACTGGGCAGGGCTGCCCCCTTTCCAGGTGCCCTTGCTCCCCAGCAGGTACAGGTGCTGTTCTTCCCTGTGATATTCACCTTGCCCTCTTCTCTCTGCCTGCCAGGCCCATGGCTGTATATGACTCACAGGCCCTGGCCAAGATCCTGGAGAGGTTGAACTCTTAATCCCTCCTTGGCCTGCCTCTTCCTACTAAACTTTCAGTAAGTGTTCATTGCCAGCATCATTAAGGCCATCTTGATCTCCCTTTCCTGATTTTTCCCAGGTTGTTTCTATCATTTTTGTTTCATCATGATACCTGATATTCAGCCCCTACACAGAATGTGTGAGTGAGAAGGTACTATAGCCCCGTGTAGTACCTTAACATGCCGGTTGTCCAGGCCCTTTGTGTACTCATCAAACTCTACTCCAACAGTGAAATCCACATCGTAGTTGCGGAATGTGCTAGTGGTTTTTGTCTTGAAGTTATCACCATTTTGATCAATAACCTTCGTCTGAGTGAGATGTACTGCAATCTTGCGGGTGGCAAAATCAATATCTGTTGGCAAAGGGAGTTGTGGAGGTTATGATGTGCTCAGCCAGACTCATTCATTTCTTTAACAAGACCAAACATTCAAGACTAGAGATACAGGCCAGGTGTGGTGGCTCAAGTCTGTAATCCCAGCAATTTGGGAGGCTGAGGTGGGCGGATCATGAGGTCAAGAGATCAAGACCATCCTGGCCAATGTGGTGAAACCCTGTCCCTACTAAAAACACAAAAATCAGCTGAGTGTGGTGGCGTGCGTGTGTAGTCCCAGCTACTCGGGAGACTGAGGCAGGAGAATTGCTTGATCCCGGGAGGCAGAGGTTGCGGTAAGCCAAGATTGTGCCACTGTACTCCAGCCTGGCGCCTGGCAACAGAGTGAGACTCTGTCTCAAAAAAAAAAAAAAAAAAAGACTAGAGACACAGATTGTATACAGGCCACTGTCTTTGCTTAAGTGGGAAATAAGCTTCTTACTTGTGGCCAAGTTGAGCATCTCAGTCAGTTGCTGGGGAAACCTAGGAGTCTCCTAGCACCTCCTCAGGATCCCTGACGGGAGGGAGGCATAGTATGCAGGGCTCACCCCTAAGCTGCAGCTCTCCAACACACACACACACACACACACACACACACACACACACACACAGCAGCTCTATTTTATCTGACCCATTGGGCATCCTCCTAAGAGTTCTCTGAAAATCTCATGGTTTAAAAGAAAAAAGACTTTGGAAACCATTAGTTGTAATCATGGATAAAGATGAAACTTATACAACTTTTGTTAATGTCCACAGCAGGGAGGGTTACAAGCTAGTTACAAGCTTCCATTTTGAAAAAAGTCAGATTTGAGCCTGATGGAATGATTTTAAGTAATATCAGCTACCTGGAAGGTAAAAGAATTCCATTCCTGTCTCCTAAGTTGAAAAGAAAAGTAAGTTCAAGCTGGCATGAGCTGGGGCACAAATGCCAGCACCTTGCTCACCTCTCATTCTCTACTATTTGTTGAGTACCTTCCATGTCTGTGAACTCACCAGGGGGCCCCAAAGCTAGTTCCCCTCTGAATCACCTGAGACAATGTAAAAAATGCAGATTTCTGGGTCTTATCCCAGGCCTAGAATCTGGGTCTTATCCCAGGATGGTAGAGTTCAGTGATTTTAATTTTGAACTTCGTCATAGGAGGCTGTTTGGAGAAAAGCTTCCATGGCTTAAAAATTTTGAAAACTACTGTTTAAGCGCCTACTTGTCATGTTAGAGATGACAAAGTGAAGACCTAGAGAGGCTAGTTCACTTGTCTAAACATGCATGGCTGAAACAGCAATCACAGTGGCTTGGGAATTGGATGGATGTGTAGAGAGATTGAGTTGGAAGGGGGAAACAGTGGTTTTCAGCTTGGATGATTAAGGTGAGAGCCAGGGAAGTAAACGAGGGAACTAGTTTTATGGGGAAACATGGGGAGCTGAATTTTAGGTAAGGTGAATCTGTTAACCATGCTACATGGACCCTTAGTGATATTTGGGGTAGCAATATTAAGACACTCTTTGGAACTAACCAGGGATGGTGCCTCAGAGTGTACCCTCCCTTGGGAAACCTTCCTCATTTTATTCTTCAAACAAACCCACAAGGTAAGTTTTATTTGAATCTTCATTTTACCAGTGTGGAAAAAACTGCCTCAGAGAAGTTGTGTCACTTTCCCTGGATCATATGGTGAGGAAGCAGTTGAGATGGTACTTGAACTCAATGGTCTGTCTCCAGGGTCAGTGCTGTGTTCCCCAAGCTCTGGGGTAGCCCAGTGAGATCATTCCCATGTGTGCACTTTCCGTGGCTGCCCAAGATACTAGTAATTTCTGACTCAAATTTCCCCTGGAGACACAGGGGCTGTGGGATTCAGCTGGATGAGCTCCCTGCTGGAGGTAGTTTGTTTTCCAGAGCTCTTGCATACTGTCCCCCACCAAACGGCAATTGTTTTCTAGGCCTAGAGGTGTATAATAAGTCAGAGCTGGAGCAATGGCACTCCAGCCGGGTACAGTATCTGACATCTCATTCAGCTTCAGCTCTGTGGCTTATGGAATTGTATATGAGCATGTCTAAGCCACACAGCCCACGAGGCATGGGATGCGGTGCGGGTGAGACGAATGGTCTCTCGGCTGCCTTTGGTACTGTGAATTCTTCTAGTCTTCTTGGCCAGCATTCCCAGAGCCCCCACTTCCCCATTGTGTTTGCCATGGGGTGCAGCTCTGTCAGATGTTTGGTGAGCAAATAAGTTTGGGAGATGAGGAATTAAAACCAAGACAAGCTGGTTTCTGCCCTGTAGAATTTCATAGATTCTTTAACATAGGAAAGGTACTTTATAACTCCAAGTTGGAGGGAGGGTACAAGATGCAGCTTTTCAAAGTCTTAGGTGGGCATGGAGCCCCTCTGTGGAGGAACATGCAGTCGGCCAAGTGTCCCCCACAACTTACTATGGAAAGGGCTCACAAAACCCTTTCTGACACATTTATCTCAGCCACCTTGGCTTTGCAATCATAAAATACCTGTTTAATTTTTCTCTCTTCAAGGTAACAACTGGCCTGTTTAGGTAGGATCAAGTGGTCAAGTATTTCTTACTTAAAAAATGAGCCCTTCCTTAAAATTGCTACAAACCACTGAAGAGCATCTTCCTTGTTCTAGTGAGTTCAAGCACATACTTGTGTCAGGCAGAGGAGCTGGCAAGAGGCTGGCATGTCACACTGCAGCCCTATTTCTATCCTTCTGCCCCAAAGACACAGTCTAGCAATCAGGGACATCTGTGTGTCCGGCTTCAGTCCTGTCCCTGGACGCTTGGCTCCAGATCTAAAGCAGCAGAAAGCAGAGGCCAGACGTGGAGCCGTTATTAACTGCATTACCTTGTCGTGAGGATCAGTTGTGATGGTGTTGGGGGAGCTTTGCCCAGTGCTGGCAGCTCGTGGTCATGGCTCTGTAAATGGAGGCTGCCATAATCATAAAATCATTATGAAGCCCTGATCTCACCAGCCAGTTTCCTTAGCATCCTTTGTGTTTTTCCATATACCCCTTGAACAGTTGCTCTCTGAATCCCTGTCACTCTCATCCGAGCTTTCCAAGTCTCATAAGATGCAGCCCCAGATTTGCCTCCTTCCTTAACTGCCGTTCAGGCCAAACAGTTTTATTGCTCCCCTCTACCCTCTACCTGCCAACAGGACTCGGCATCTCCCCCTGCATTTTTCATAGAGTTGGTTATTCTTTCCTGCAGTCTCACCTCTATGAGGACAAGGGCGATGCCATTCTCTTGCTCCATGTCCCTCCACACCAAAGAACCAGGATTTGAGCTAGGCACATAGTAAGTGCTCAAGAAATACCAAGGATTGGGTAGTGGAGGCAGCAAGGGCCAGGACAGTGATTATCGAAGTGAGGTTCCTGGGCTGGCAGCAGCATTAGCACCTGGGAACCTGTTAGAAATGTGGATTCTGTGCCACTGCACTCCAGCCTGGATGACAGAGCAAGACCCTGCCTCTAAATAAATACATATAAATAAAAAGAAAAGAAATGCGACACTGGGGCCCACCCTGGAGCTCTGTGGGCCAGGCTCTGCTTGTCCTAACAAGTCTTCCAAGTGACTCTGTGCATGCTGAAGTTTCAAACCGGGGTATAAATGAGTAAGGGTAAGGGGCAGATGCAGGTACAATCCTGTCTCTTATTTCCCAGCTATGTGACCTTGGAGAAATCACTCTTCCTTTGTGGGAAAATGAGGAAAAGAATGCTTACTTCAGAAGACTATTTCCAGTGTGGGTTCAGTAAAAATAATGGTAAAATGCTTTATGTAGAACCAAGTAGCTTGTCAGTATTCAGTGAACATTGCCATCCACTCTTGACCTTGTCTGTTTGGGTCAAGTAGGGACCAAGTCAGCGTTCAGTCTAGAATGAAATTCTTGGGTCATATTTATGCATCGCCATAGCTGTCTGCACTTCATGTTTTTTAAGGGGCTTGGACTCTGCAGGAGAAGTGGGAATGGTGGCTGATACACTCCCTTACTCTCATAGCCTTGGTCTGTCCCACAGGCATGTTATCCAGCCTGGTGAAACTTTTCTGTGTGGATCAGTTTCCTCACTCTGTAGTTGGTGATGGATAGAACCAACTTTGGCTCCTTCTCTAGCCCTTTGTTCTGAGGTCTGAGCTGTATTAACCATACTTCTGGAACAGTGGTTGGGAGATGGGAAAGAAAAACCACAGGTCACCTGTTAACCAGACGAGAGACAGGGGAGGGCCCTAGGAAAAACCACTAAGGAAGAATTAAAAGTAACAGAAATTTAGAACTGAAGTGTTCCTCTGACAGCAAGTCTGTTTCCACTCAATGGATATGGAAACTGAGGCCCTCAGAATTTAAGTGGTGGGTTCAGAGCCACCCAGTTAGGACAGCACTCCTGACAATTTCTTTACACATTCCGTCACTATTTACAACTAACCCCTTCCCCCAACTAAAAATTATTGCTTGTCCCTGTTTGCAGAGGAAGGTAGATCACAGCTAAAAATATCTATTGCTGAAAGAACTGGTTTGTCCGGGACACACCATCCCTAGTCAATCTTTCTGACCAGTGCCGGGGGAATCTTATTAGAAGACTATGCAAATGGAATCAAGCATCACTTCTCTTCTGAATTGAAAAATGCCTTGGCCTCTTGGCCACCCTTCGGTGTTTGCACAACCCAGTAAATCATGTCACCTCTGCTCTGCCCTAGGGAAGGGAGCCAAATGTTCCGTTGGTGGACTCATGATATTTCTAATCAAAAGGGTTTAACTGCAGTTGTAGAATGAACACGCACACACACACACACACACACACACACACACACACACACACGAGATTATAAAAACACTTCCTGTCTGTACTTTGCGGAGAAAATTATTTTCCTGGTATGGTATTTTAACAACAGGGTTATCGAGTATGTTTTATCTGCTTTTCTGGATTAAAGGTATCTCTGAGTCTGATTTATAGCCAGGTGAAATGAATTTCTATTTCGGAAGGAGAG